ACATATACATACATATACATACATATATGTATATATGAGTTTGTATGTAATGTATGAATATAATATACAAGTTTCACTTTTTAAATGGAATTACTGAAATAAATCTACTTTTTCATGATATTCTAATTTTATGACCAGCACCTGTATATATATATATATATACATACACACACATTATATACATATATTTACATATATACACACAAATATAGTGTTTTCTGTTCCTCACACATACATACACATATACAATATACATGTACGTACACGTACATACATGTACGTACACGTACATACATGTACGTACACGTACATACATGTACATACACGTAGATGTACATACATGTACATACATGTACATACATGTATGTACGTACATGTATATTTACAGTGTTTTCTTTCCCTCCCTCTCCCTGATTCAACTCTACATGCTGCTCGCTGTCATAACTTTCACATGGCACCCATCCTTTAAATACAAGTGTCACAATGTGGGTAAGAAGGTGAACCATTATGGTTTTCTTCATTTCAAACACCTATGTTTTTATGTTACTTGTTTCAGTAAATATGTGAAGAACTAAACTGAGTCTTAATGTGGAACAAACGGGTCTTTATGATGTACTCATGTCTTGCTTTTCAACATATTTGAAAGATATAAACCTCCATTTGCAGGAGTAGTGGGAACATAAAAAGAAACACGTCAACATGTTGGCCATCAGGAGGATTAGTCAGCACGGTTCACCTACAGGGCTCCTCAGGTCTGCAGGCAGGAGTTGTTTGCCTTCCACATGGTCCTTGAATCTCCGTCTGGCCTCCTCCAGTGTGGGTTTGTGTCCTGCTTTGCCCAGTTTCCCCAGAACCAGACCCCTCAACAGGGCATCCAGGTGACCTACAAAAATATACAGAAACACTTCAGCAGCTAACGTGCATGTTAGCTAAATAATGTCAAGTTATGGGATTTAAAGATCAGCTTCATTTATTCATCCAAGAAAAACTGGGCAAACTAATAAAAAAGCTGAGATTTCTAAACTATTCCTCTATTTTAGCCTAAAATAAACCCAGAGTGTCAGTCTGTGCATTAAGCTCTAGTTATAGTTATTAGGGGGAAAATATATTTTTTGGTAAAACCATAAAGTTGACTTCCTCACCCTCCCCTGCCCTGCTGTCCCAGCCAAGCTTAAGGCCAATGGGGGTGAAGAGGTCTCGGATGAACTCCTGGATCTCCTCATGGAAGTCTGTGTGGGACAGCAGCGACGACAGCACTCCCAGGTTGCAGCTCAGGTCGCTCCACACAGTGTAGTTGGGCTCATTGACAAAGGCTTCCATCAGCTTCAGCACCTCCACCGTGCTGATCATCCCTGCACGGGACTGAAGACATGCAACAATCAGAACCCTTCTGCCCAGTCAGGAAGTGGACTGATGGCTGTACTCAATGAATCAACAGCAAAGTCTCACAAACACAATAAAAACTAGAAATGGGTTTTTACGATGTAAAAACAAGTGTGCATTGCCTTGTAGCATGTCCTTGCCTGCAGCAATGGACTAGCAGAATGAACTGACCAAGTTCAAATGTGTTTTCTAATCAAGAACCAGCTTGTGGCTGTCAGCAGGTGTTTGTAATGAGGGTAATTGTGTGAAAATATGGTTAGAATAAATTTTTTGTTAAACTTGTTATAGCTGGGATTTGAACCCTGATCTCRCACATGAAAGGCTATGACATTAACCACAAGACCATTGGTGCTGGGAGAAAGTATAATCCCAGTGTTGTTTTCCATGTGTGTAGAAAGAGGCAACATTGCCAATGACAATCGTTGACAAAGAACTGCATAATATTACAACAGTAGAGCAATATTATATAAAATGTTTATGCATATAAGACAATAATATAGTAATACATCAAATTACATATATATCAATATTGTAATCACTGCAATAATTGAGATTAAACATAATTATTAAACTATGGTGCAGTTCCATACTGAGAAGATACAGCAGGGGGCAGTATTGGACCAATACAAGGTCCATTGACTCCCATTATAATTTATTAAACATTAATATTTCAAAAGCTATAAGTTGTACAGGCACCAAAAGGCATAGCCATCATTTGGCACAGGAGCTTTACAGATATAAATTACAYTGGCAGCTCTAGGACAAAGTATGCAGGAGGAGAAGCATGCCAAAGTGGAGGTGACTTGGATGGGAAACGAATCACAATAGTACTAAACTAATTCTGTTTGATAAGGAATAAATACTGCCATTAGAAAAGGGAGGTATAATTTATCTTTAGATTCATTGCAGACAAAGATTCTGTAACCATAGATTTGAACGTTCAAAAATGATTTTATTCATGTTAATCTTTGCTACCATATGAATGCTGTTTGTCCAAATAAGAATTAGAGTATCTTCCTGTCATAGATACACGTTGCAGTAAAACTGTTTGCATATCTTATAGCTTTACGCCCATGAACTCAGGAATATTTGTGTAAAGATTTGAAAGTATTATAATGAGACTGCATTTAGTAATAACTTTAAAATGTTTGATTTTCATATAAATTTCCAGTGATAAAAATTATGCTAATTGTATTACTAATGCATTATTAAAATGCATATCAAGATATAGTAGTTACTATAGCATAGTAGATATAGTAGTAGTAGTAGTAGTACTATTGTAGTTAAAAAAAAAAACAGTTTGCAAACCCAAGATTCAGAACAGTGTGCCCTGAGGGACTCCTGAGGTGTCACCAGCTGAAAGAAGGTGCTGGAAAACCAAAGACGCTCCTCTGGCTAAATGCCTGTTCACGGGAGAAGTGGGTCTCTGCAGAACATGTTTTCTGGTGGGCGGAGATAGCCCTACTTGTGGGCGGAGACAGCCCTACTCGTGGAGAAGCATCTAGTCGGGCAGGAAGCAACATGAATGTTAAAGGGATCCATGATTAGTTGTAACATTAGAATTTATTTTATAAACAAATATTTTAACTGTAAAATAAAGACTAAAATACCGTAGGCTGTTCAGTATTTATAATTTTTTAAAATAAATTTTAACACTGATTGAGGCATTTTATTTACACACAAAGCATTCTGGGTAAATGATGACGTGGACAGGTCCTCGGTGCGAGGCTGCTAGCGAGCTATATCCACCCTGAAGGTTAATCTTGGACAATATC